ATGCCCAATGGCCATCAGCTCTCCATCTAGGAAGCTCAGCTGAATGGGGACATTTGGATAGGGAAATAGTTAGAGGGCATCCTTCCCAAAGTGCTGATCAGGTCAGCAGACAGTGTACTTGGAAGAGATGAGTTCTTTGCAGGCCTCCTACTGTCTAAGCATCAGTGAGAGAGGCAAGGTGTTCAAAATGCAAGAGGCGCCAGGGCTCAAAGTGCATCTGATCCGCGATGGTAGAGTCTGAGCACCACGGATTACGAAAGATGCTGGTAACCTAGAAGGACTTCAGGGGAATGTGAGTGATTAAGAGGGTGAAGGGTCTTGAGTCTTTGGCAAATGAGCATCGGTTGAAAGAAGGAGGGATGAAGAGAATCTCAGGAGAAGAGAAGACTCAGGACAGAACATGCTAACTGTCGGCAAGTTTTTGAAGGGCTGGTGTGTGGAAAAAGAATTCAACCTGCTCAGCTTGGTCCCAGAGGGCAGAGGCAGCAAATAGGAACAAAGCTACAGAGGGATCAGTTGGGGCCAAATGTAAAGAAACTCCTGGATTCTGGGAAGACGCAATTCTGAGCTTCTGTCATTTGGTCAGGGGAGTAGACTCATGGCCTATTAGGGTTAGAATTAAAGATCCAAGCCTCTCATCTTACAGATGAAGAAATATAATTAAGGCTTAAGCTAATTTTGCATTTATAGTACACAGTGCTCAGACTAGAGGAAGCATCAAGGTTGGAAAACATGCAGCCCCTGCCCTCATGGGACTTACAGTCCACAGAGGAGCAAGAAGAGTCATACACACATTGGGCATGAGTCCTACAAGCTCACCTTTGTGTAGCTCAGAAGGGTTCACAAGGTGTTTTACATGTCAATACGGTTGAGAAGCATTTATTATTCACCTACTACATGCCAAGCACTGCGGAAACAAGGACAAAAGGAAAGCGAGAAAAAAAAGGCCTACCCACAGGTGGATAGATGATAAACAAATAGATGATAGATGTGATAGAGATAGATAGATGAATAGATAGATAAGTAGATAGACAGGATATATAGACAGATGATTGATAGATGAATAGATAGGTACAGAGAGATAGACAAAGATAGATAGATAAATGAATAGATAGATAATAAGTAGATAGACGTGATATCTAGAGAGATGATTGATAGATGAATAGATTTAGAGAGAGATAGGGATAAGTAGATAATAAGGAGATAGAAAGAATATATACAGATAGATAGACAGAAGGATCGATAGATAGACATATAGATGATATATATAGATAGATAGGTAGGTAGGTAGGTATGTAGATATGTATGAAGAGATAAAAATGTAGCCTAAGATTAGGCTTGGGGTTTTGAACTTGACTCTGAAGCAATAGGTAGGTTTTAGGAAAGGAGTGATAGGATCATAACTGTACACAAGGAATCTTAACCTGCCAGCATAGGAAAGGCTGGACCGGAGATAAGAGGGGACGGGCAGGAGATAAGGGACCAAATAGGGGTTATCGTGAGAGTCCAGGTGTCTGGTAATTAGGATCCAAAGCACCAGGCTGTAGAGGGAGTGGAGAGGAAGGGCTGGGTGCAGGAAAGATTGGGGAAGTAGAATCAAGAAGGCCTAGCAACTGAGTATATCTAAAGGATTAGGAAGGAGAAGAAGCCCGGAGAACCAGCAAATAGGAGAGACAACTCTGCATGTCAGTGTCCTGCTCTCTGCATATGTTGGGTAGAGTGCAAGCATCTCTGAGGCAGGGATTATTTCATGTTTGTCTTTCCTTGCTCTTCAGCACCTGCCCCCGCGCCTGGTACATTACGGATACTTAACATTTTTTTTTTAAATAAAAGAGCACTACATTTGGAGTGAAGGGAAGCTAGATGGTGCAATAGATAGAACACCAGGACTGGAGTCAGGAAGACCTGAGCTCAAATCCAGCCTCGGACACTTACTAGCTGTGGGACCCTGAGCAAGTCGCTTCACCCTGTTTGCCTCAGTTTCCGCATCTGTAAAATGAGCTGGAGAAAGAAATGGCAAACCGCTCCAGTATCTTTGCCAAGAAAATTCCAAATGGGGTCACAGAGAGCTGGACACAACTGAACAAAAACAACAATGACCTTGGTTCAAACCCCACGCTCCTGTGCGTGACTCCTTGTGTGGCTTTAAGCCAGCAGCTTGCCCTCTATGGACAAAGAAAGGCCTCTAAGATGCCATCTCACTCTAAATCTATGAAGGTAGGAATGAATGAATGAATGAATGAAATAGCAAAATCAGAAGTGGCAAGTTTAGAGGAAAAGATTTTTAGCATCTGTGAATCACAGATTTCAAGCGGCAAGGGCCCTCAGAGGCCATGGAGTCCAAGCCATTCAATTTACAAATGAGAAAACTGAGGCCCAGGGAGGTATAAGCAGCTTGTCCAAGGTCACACAGCGAGTAAGCCTAGGAGGTGGGAAATGAACCTAAGCCCTTTGGATTTAGTCAGTGTTCTTACAACTATTATCACATTGCCTTCTGGCCTCTCATTTTACAGATGAGTAATGAAAGCCCAGGGAGAGTTTAAAAAAAAACAAACAAAAACTTGCCCAGGATCACATCAAAGATGAAATAATGAAATAACGTTGAGTCCAAAGTTCTAGTGAGACATCCAGGTACAGATGTCCAGGCCCAGAGAAGCTTGGCCTCCATCACCAAGCTAGTTAGAAACAGAGCTGGGACCCGCCCCCAGGGCTCTCAAGAGCAAATCCATCATTCTCTCCAAAGTTCCCTGCTGCTGTCCCTCTTACAGAATCATAAACACTGTCAATTGAATTGAAATGATGGTGTATTTTTTTTAAATTGTGTGTATGTGAAATGCTGCTTTTCCTTATTTTTTTCAAAGGAAGGGAATTCAAAGTTCAAGTAGCTAACATCTTTAACTTGTTGGTGTTAATGATTGGATGATGGTAAAAATTAGCAACGGTTTAGAGCAGGCAGCAGAAAATGTGCTGGCCTGGGGGCAGGGCTGAGGGTGCCAACGGGTTAAGCCAGGACAGCCGGACACCCTTTCCACTGAGTTTCTTTTGCTTATTGAATTTAGTAGACAGAATTGGAGCAATGTTGTTTTAATGAAATTATCAGGGTGCTTTTCTGACACTCATTCATAGGCTCTCCCTTTTTTTTGTGCCTTCTTCTGAAAGATAAAGCATTCCGAGAAATTGCTTCCAATCAGCCTGATTTCTTATACTGTTGTGAAGTGCTCTGGGATTATTGAGAGATACATTAAAGTTGTTCCAGGCATCATCCTTCAAGTATCAGAGTGTATCACTTTGTATCTGGAGAGTATCTGCCAGGAAGAAGGCACAATGTGGCCCAGATGAAGTCAATGTTACCCAGCCCAGCCCCTGCCCCTGCATTAAACAGAGAAAGAGGGGTGGGGATGGATTATGGCAAACCATTCACACTCCCTCAAAGCCTTCCTTGCAACTTCAAGTACCTGCAGGACTGCCTAGAGGGATTGACCTCAGGATTGTGGATGAATGTAGAGCAGGAAGGGACCTCAGAAGCCGTTCAACCCCTTCATTTTACAGATTAGGAAACTGAGGCCCATGGTGAATTCAGGCCATCTAACTCCAGTGCTTGTTTTCCCTACAGTTGTCTGGCTCTAAAAGAAAGAATGAGGAGGAATGAGTTTTAGCTGCAAAGAGGAAAGTTGAGGCTTAATGTGGGGAAAAATATCATAACAATGAAGACTGGAAGAAAAAAGTGGGAAGGAAGCCAAACAGACTTAACTGGCGTATAGTAGGTTCTTAATAAATACTTATTATTGTTATTATTATTATTATTTTTGGTGAGGCAATGGGGTAAAGAGACTTGCCCAGGGTCACATAGCTAATAAATGTCAAATGTCTAAGTTCACATTTGAGCTCAGGTCTTCCTGAATGCAGCACTGAGACTCTATCCATGGCACCATCTAGCTGCCCCTTAATAAATACTACTTGATTTGATTTGAAGAAGTAAGAAAGACCTGAGTTTAAATCCTATGATACCAATCCAATCATATTCAAATGTCCAGATCCAATCAAAGTGTTGTTACTCTGGGCAAATCACTATTAACCTCACTCTGTCTGTTTTCCCATCTGTAAAATGGGGATAATAACAACACCTACCTCATAGGGTTACTGTGAGGACCAAATGAGATAGCATGTCAAGTACTTTGCAAAGCTTTAAGCACTGGATAAATACAGGCCAGCTATTATTAGTAACAATAATAATAATGATTTTCAAAATCAAAAGCATGACATAAGCAGAAGTTATTGTTTTAACCACAAAATCAGCTTATCTATACAAAAAAGGGAAGTTGTTTTTAAAAAGTCTGCATGTCTACCAGGACATACAACAATGTACAATGTTCATAATGGAAAGAACATGGACTTGGAATAGAAGACCTGGGTTTGAGTAATCACAATCCATCGTTTCCTGGCTGTGTGGCCATGGGCAGGTCACTTGCCCTCTCTGAATTATGTGACCAAGGGTTGGTCAATCCAATTCACTCCGCATTTATTAAGCTCCCTTTGTTCGCTTCTCCAAACAAAACAAACAAACAAACAAAATGCAAATAGCCCCTGCCCACAAGGTGACACTGTGGGTTAGCTTGGAGTCGGGAAGGTCTGGGTTCAAATCTAGCCTCAGATACTGACTGTGTGACTCTGGGTACTTAGCCTCAATTTTCTTATCTGTCCAATGGGGATTATAAATAGTATTTACTTCACAGGGTTTTGTGAGGATTCAATGAGATCATATGTGGAAGGCCCACTGCAAACCTTGAAATGCTAGTTATCACATCATCATCATCTTTATTTTCCAGGGGTTACAATAGTTGTACCTCACAGAGAAAGCCCACTATAAACCTGAGAGCTTATGAGTTTGTTTGTTTATCGTAATTCATAATCACAGTTTACTTTTATGCAGTTTGTGGTTGGAGTTAGACAATTTCCTCAAAACCGTACTGTGAGCTAAGAAGTACAAGTGTAATTATTACCGTTTTACAGATGAGCAAACTGAGACTCTGAGAGGCTGAGTGACTTGCATTCTTGACAGTCAGGAGCATCAGGGGAATGTAGATTTTGATCTGGAAAAATCCTCATAGCATGGGTTCTTCCCCATGGACACCTTTGGTAGTCTAGGAAAATTAATGGAATCCTTCTCAGAATCATGACTTTATGAAAAATGCCAAATTGAATGAAAGGTTACATTTCAGTTAGAGGTTAAGGAAAATAAAGATGCAATTTTTTCCCATCCGAGTTCACCGACCCCCTGAAATCCACCCACAGACCACTTGGGCCTCCAAAGACCCCAGGTTGAGACCCCTATCTTAAAGATTCTTCCAGTCCAATTGTCTCATTGCGCAGTTGATGAAATTAAGGCCAACGGAGAGGCAAAGAGGAGAGTTTGAGGCAGGCTTTTACCCCAGAGGCACATTTGATTTCCCTCTGGCCCGACCTGCCACCTCAGCCAAGATGGCATTTCCCACCACACTTGAGCAGGCCCATTTTCAGAGCCTGTAACCTGGGGTCTCTAGTGAGGACACTGATGGCCCCAGCTGTCGGCAAAGCTGGGAGCAGAAGCTCCCTGAACCCAGAAAGGAGCTGGAAACCAAGGAGGAAGGGAGGATATTGAATTAGGCCTGACTCCCCACGGGGAGGTCCTGTGCCAGTGAAATCAAACAGGAATAACTCAGTGTTCATTGAGTTTGCCTAGAGTTACTGAGAAGCACATTGATTCCAGAGTGGCAGCACCAGGGGGTTCAGGCTTAGCAAAATGTCAGCCAAGCCAAGCCTGATTAGGCCAAACCTGGCTGGCAGCAGTAAATCTGGAAAGCAGTAAGAAGCGAGAAGAGGCGGCGCCTCCCCCAGAGAGCCATCGTGAGCCGGGAACAATGTGGGCCCCCCAGAAATAGCTCAGGGAGTTGTAAGAAGCTCAGAATTTCCTGGAAATGAAGGGGGGAATTCCTCCTAATGGTCTCCCAGCTCGCAGACCCCACCAATGGGATCAGAAATCTGTCCCTGGGCAGAGGCACCTCAAACGGTGATGGCCTGCCACGCTTTGTTAGATCCCTCGTTACATCCTGTCCTCTCCTCCGGTCTCCCTGGCACAAGCTCATTGGCAGCATCTGCTGGGAGCTGTGGGCAATCGATTGGCAGCCAATAAACAGAGAGTCCAGGCAGGCCTGGCTGTGGCCTTCTGGAAGGCTTCAACCCCCAGGCGAGCACAGCTGGCTGGCTAATCTTAGGGAAACCCAGCTGGCCCGTATTAGGGTATCTGCTGAACCAGGCCCAGGGCAAGGGAAGGAGAGATGAGATGGGGCTGGGGGCTGGGGGCTGGGGGCTGAGGATTGGACTGACTCCCCAGGACTGCTGGTAGGGAAGCTGCAATGGGGGAAATTGTCATAATAGTAACTCATTTATAAAGGGATTTATGGTTACAATTCCATTTAAAAAGCATTTTATTAAACAACTACTGTATCCAGACTCTTTGGTAGGGATACCAAATGCTAGGTGCTAAAGAAAAAAGTCCTTGCCCTTAAGAAGCTTACATTCTACTGGGGGGAACACTATGTACCCAACTTGTAAATAACGTGTGTGTGTGTGTGTGTGTGTTTGGATAATAAAAAGTAATTCCTCAAAGAGTTGGGGAACCAGGAGAATCAGGTATAAAATAGTTACACATCCTATCTACTATCTCTTTACTACAATCCTGTAAGACTGGCAATGTAAGTGTGATCATCCCCATTTTAGAGATGAGAAAATGGAGGGCTCATCAAAGTGAAATAGCATTCCCAAGGTCATAAGTGACAAAGCTGACGTTCACATAGACCCAGGCCTTCTGACACCACCCTGCTTCCCTCTCTGTCTCTCCAACTCTTCCCTCATTGTTCCCCTCAGAGCTCTCAAGTCGCCCTTCTTATCCTGTCCCAAAGGAAAGCAGATATTAGCAGTCTGCATTTTATAGCAATTAAGAAAACAAGCAAGTAGTTATTAAGTACCTACTCTGTGCTAGGCTCTGCACTAGGCTCTGGAAATACAAGAACAACAATGAAAACAGTTTTTACCCTTAAGGAGCTTCCACTCTCTAGGGAAAGACAGCATGCATACATAAATATATCGCCATCTCTGGACTACCCCCTCCCCACTTGAACTATCAGGTTGAGTCTCCTAGGGGACAACTACTCCATGTTCAAAATATGCTCTGGGGCCGCACTCACAAACTATAGCTCTTGAGCCCCCACTGGTGCATTCACTTTTATCAGACACTTGACATAATTAACTCTAAGCAAAGTCCTTTACAGAAAAGATATAAGATGGACAAAACATTCCTCCTATAAACCCTGGGCACACTCCCCCATAAATTCACACTGTATCAGTAGGATGAGGAGAAAGAAAAATTAACTATTCTTAATAGGAAAGCACTCATGTAGAGAATACACATGGTCAAAGCAACTCACACTTCTAACACTCATTACTAGGCCCCAGGTTTCTTTTCTCAAATCCAATCAAGTTAAGTATTTATTAAGCACCTACTATATGCTAAACTATGGAATTATGATTCTGCAAGTACGTTCATTTTATTCCCCCAGGGAAAGGGTATTAAATTAAAAAGGTAAATAAATAAAGCATAATCATCCCTGTCTTATATGTGAAGAAACAGGAGTTCAGAGGGGATGAAGTGTAGTTCAATTTGACAAGCATTTATTAAATATGCACCATGCGCTCAGATATTATACTGGGGGCTGGAGATAAAAACACCAAAAAGTAAAACACTTTTTACCTTCAAGAAGCTTACCTTCTGATGGGGACACAAAGTTAGGAGGGACTGCTAATAATATAAATTGCAAAATCAAAATTCTTAAAATTATTTTGATAGGGCCAAACAAGATGAAATTCAGCAAGAATGAAGATAATTTTGCATTTGGGATATAAAAAGGGTATTGCACAGACACAGAATATCAGGAACCTGAATTGGTTGACATTAGGATGTACAAAAAAGATCCGGGGGTTTTAGTCGATCACAAGATTAACAAAAGCCTCTAAAGAAATGGGCTTATTAATTAAGCTCATTCAACCCTAAATTGCATTAAGAGAAGCGCTCTATAGCATCTCCACCATGGGAATTAATATTCCTGCTGTCCTCTGTACTAATCAGACCATATGTCAACTATAGTTCTGGGTGATATATTTTAAGAGGTATATTGACAACCTGGGATGTGCCTAGAGTTGGTGAAGGTTCTGGAAACCCTAAGGTATGAACAGCGATGCGAAAATGGTATTTTTAGCTTGAATCAAAGACTACTAGGGAAAGTTGTCTTTGAATACTTGTGGAAGTGATTTAACCATGGTCACTCAGTTAGCAAGTGATAGAACCCAGTTTAGTTGAACTCCACTCTGGGCTGACTTAAAGTCTAGGGCTCTTTCTGCCACAAGACAGAACTTTTTCGTGATATTCTGTTGCTTAAGGTAATAATGAACTCACGCTTGCACCAGTGAATTAGTGTAAAAAACAACAACAACACTGAATTTGAAGTCTTAAGGACTTGGGTTTGAATCTTAACTTTCTATTTATTACCTGTGTGGCCTTAAGAAAGTCACTTCACCTCCCTTGGCCTCAGTTTTCCCATTTTAAGAAGAAAGGAAGGAAGGAAGGAAGGAAGGAAGATCAAAGAAGGAAGGGAGGAAAGGAAGAAAGAAAAAGGGAGGAAGAAAATAAAGATGAAAGAAAGAAAATAAAGAAGGAAGGATCAAGGAAAGAGGAGAAAAGGGAATAAACATGTATTAAGTTCCTACTACGTACCAGGTACTGTGCTAAACACTTTACAATTATTATCTTATTTACTCCTCACAACACCCTGGGACATAAGTGCTATTATTATCCCCATTTTACAGATGAGGAAACTGAAGCAGACAGAGGTTAAGTAATTTAGTAACATGCTCACACAGCTTATGAGCATCTCAGGCTAGATTTGAATTAAAATCTTTCTGACTCCAGGCCCAATACTCTATCCAATATACCACCCAAAGAGGTCTCTACAGTTGTGCTTAATTCAATGGGAAGATCACAAGGCCATGGGACCATAGTTTTAGAGCTGGAGGGGAAAGCAACTAGTCTAATCCCCTTATCTTACAGATGAGGAAACTGAGGCCCAGTGAAATTCCATGACTTGCCCAAGGTGGTAATTGGCAAAGCCAATATTTGAGCACAAGTTCAAATCCAAGTGTTTTCTCCACCATCCCCATAGAATGACAGGCTCTGTGACAGGCTCCTAGTGGAGAAGCTATTTGGGGTCAGGGAGCCTTCTTAAAGCTACTCAGATTGCCCCAAGCGGTCAACTCAATCTATTCTGCCAACAGTAAGGTTGGCCTCCTGACTAATATCGAAAGCTGAACACAGAAATATTTCTCTCTCTTGTACACCTACAGACGCTTACTTAGAAGGTCCCCAGGGTCAGCATAACATTAGAAAACAAAGACTATGTGTTGAAAAACAGCTGACCCAACGGACAGGATAGACTTCCCAATGTTTCCAAAGTTGCTTACTTCAGCCTTTATGGAGTAAAGTACTGTCAGTAGCCAGAGATACCACTGTGGCCAGCACGCAGTACAGCTGTAAATCTTAGAGCCATATTATTTAAGAGACTAGACTCTTTTTGTGTGTGTGGTGATATTAAACCAAGCCCACCACCAGCTCATAAATCAGTGAGGCAATTTCTATTCCCAGCTGCCTCTCTCTGACTTCCAGAGACGCACACATCTTCTAGTACATTGCCTGGGGCTAAAAGCAGGGATAAGGAAGCTAAAGAAAGGGACCTATTTTAGATATTCTTTCCTATGTCTCCTCTCTGGGTCTCAGTTTCTTCGTCTGTCAAATCAGTGTGTCAGTTTCTTATACGATCCTCTTCCCTGTTCTTTGTCTCTTGAAATGTTTGTGTGTTAATGATTGTTGTGATAAAATATATGTTATATAAATATACATTTATATAATATATATTATATCTATATAATATCTATGTAACATAATGACAAATATATCTATGCAATACATCTGTGTAATACATAATAATATATATCTAGATTATATACTTCTATATAACATGTATCTATATCTCTAAATAGATACATATAGATATAT